GTCAACACGTTTAAAAATGCGCGTGTTTCACCAGGTTGATTCTCTTGACACTGAGCAACCCAATATGAATCAGTACCGTACATCCGGAAAGACATTACAAAAACACCAGAGATATCTGTAAGTAAAAAACGTTTAGGATAAAGACTATATTAGGTAACTTACTTTGCAGAGTATTTTCAAAGTTATGAAATCAATGCAAACATTAACAGATCTTTTCGAACGGCTTTAATTTGCAAAGTTTATTCACAAAAAGACAAAGAGTATGGAGCTGACATACCTTTGACCACGATAGAATCAATCCATTTGATACTTGTGAGCATATGCTGCTGGTAATGCTTATACTTCTTCCTATCTCGTCTCAAATTTGCAAAAGAAAATTGCCTATTCATGGTGGAGTTAGACAGTGAATGAACTGAATTTTCATCTCCAATCGTTGCTCCACTTCGCACCTAGAATATTTTATACAAAAAGCATCTTTTAATTTAAAGTTTTAATTAAATTAAGCAGTAATATTTTAAAACCCTCTTCAGTGCTTTTAGAACATACTTTAACGATTTCAATAAGGTCATTAAAGAGGAAAATCGTCATAAGTTTCCCGCGTGTTTTGGCCCATTCTTCCTCACCGCCTAATGAGAGAACATGAAACTCACTCATCAAAGTCCGAGCACTCGACAACATTTCAGCCTATAAAAAAACACTAGATAATACAGCTTAGACTAATAGACATGTGTCCCGGAAAAGCTAAGTCATATAGTTAACAGATGAATTAAAAAGTAAAATTCTCTTACCGGGCAGTCATTAATTTCGTTAGAAATACGGAAAATTTCTGTGTAGTTTTCAGTCTGCCTTCTAGATTCATTTGCGTTTCTAAAAAACAACTCCATTTATTTCTAGCCAAAAATAACTGCACAAAATAATGTGAAACATTACTCACGCCAAAACTCTTTCAAGTGCTTTCATCGCCTCTTTCAAATAAGGTGCATCAGGATTTCCCCGCTCCGTTTTTTTTAATATAGCTATAAGAAAAGTACAACATTAAATTCCCATTTAACAAAGTCGCCATAAGTTTTTTTTTTTTTTT